TCACGATTTAAATCATGATTTAAATCAAGTGATTTTTTTGAAAAAAATCAATGATTATAATCGATTTTTAGAAATTGAAAATATATTCGTTTATTTTGATACATATACTTATACATATAAATGGGATAACCAAAGAGGATTTAGTAATTATTAAGAAATTTCTGACTACAATACCATCCTCGGCTGGGGTAGAGAGAATATTTTCAACATACATAATAATATGTATTATAATCTGCCATAATGATTCGAGAAATCGACTTGGTAATTAAAAGGCCGCAAAGCTGGTATATTAAAAAATCGGAATAATTTTTTTTTATAAAAGTAGTATTATTTTCATTTTTTACAAAAGAATTATTTACTTTATTTTGACTTATTTTTTTTTTTCTCTTTACTAAGTTTAAGGGGCAGGGTACCTACCTATCTATTGGTAAGTACCTTACGTACACCTCTACCTATCGAATATTTTTATTTATGTTTTCAGAAATTACCGTTTATCTACTGTTTTGTTTGTTGAAATTATTTATTTATTAATAAACATTAATAAATTTTTATTTTTATTATACTTTATAGAAGTACCTACTCTTATTATGTACTCATGGACAAAATTATCGTACCACTGCTTTTGTGGTGCTTATGTGCAGTGGTGTGATAATTTTGTCTAGGAGTAGGTATACTATATTTACTGCATCATTCATTGTTGAAACTAAATTACCAATAATTGATCAAAAATTAATAAAGCCGTTTAATTCTTAAAAATTAAAAAAATTCGATTTAAATCAAAAAAATCTGATTTTTTGATTTTTTCAAAAAAATCATGATTTTTTCCAACCCTGATTGAACGTAATTGGGAGGTAATTGAGGTAATTAAATGTATTTTTCTACAAACGTGTTAAAAATGCAATTTTTAACACCGCCCCGAAGCATTAAAAATGTTACTTTATCGCACTAGTGCCATAAAGTCTTTATAGCACTAGTGTTAAAAGTGAAACATCAAATTTTGAGAGCGGACGTCAAAAAAAGTTTGTATTTTCAGTTATTTACATTGATAATAATGGTGAAATTTGAACAACTGAGGTAGCCCGATTGGCCGCCTCATCTATATTTTTCGAAGGATCGATGCAACTCTCTTTTTCTTCTGTATTTTGTTACATTTTTAGCAAAAAGCATTCCTGACCACGACATACTTTCAAGAAACTGACAAGACATTTCGTTACCTGTAAAACAAGGTGATGGTTGTATGGATTTTTTGACAAATGTCAAATTCAAGAATTTTATGTAGGAAAGATGCTTCCAATTTATTATTCATTTAAAAATCCAATTTGTTAGTGGTTATTGCTTTTTATTGCCGTTTGTAGAAAAAATATTGTATGATATTTGTGTTAAAAGTATTTTTAAGGCACTTATGTGAATTGCAGAATTCGCTTCGCTCATTCTGCAAACTTTCACATGCGTGCCTTAAAAATGTACTTTTAACACTTATATCATAAATAACTATTTCTAATTACATTTTACCATCTGTTTACCTAATAAGGGAGTAACTCAGGTTGTGACAGCCTAGTAGGAAAATTCTGAAATTAAAGAAGAACTATTCTTATTAATTAAACACTAAATTTATTACATTTATAATATTCATATACACTGAGCAAAACGAAAAAGGTGCCACTTCTGAATATGTTCGTATTTTTTGAAGAAATTATTTTAATAAAGAAATTACCTATATTTAATTTCTAAAGTTGCTCCTTTTTCGTTTTGATCAGTGTATTTTTTTATAAACTTTTAATAAACATTTAAATTTTAGAAATCCACTGGGAATTGTAAATGGCCTCGTTTATTGAACTCCGGCTCAGGAAGAACCATATATAGGTACATTGCTTCGAGAAACTTCACAATCTATATCTTCTTTGTCTGGCCAGATAAAAACATTATTTTGTCTCTTCAAAAATTTAACAACTAGGTATTTGCTGGTAATTTCTATTGTCTGTCCAACATAGCGCTTGAATGACTTATTGCCAATGTAGGTTATAAGCACCCATGATCCAGATTTATATTTCATCAATTTCTACATTTCTTTCCCTTTGCTCTTGCACTTTCATTTCCTCTTCTCCTAAAATGTCTTGAATGTCATAGTCTGACTCGCTATCGTGCAATGGATAATTAGATAAACTGTCTTCTTTACTTGAAAGATCACATGTTTTTTTTTTCTGTTTGCATAATTTACGTTTATATTCTTTGCTTTTATGTTCAATTTTTTGAGAATATTGCTTACGTTTTTAGCTTTGACAGCAAAATGTTCTTTTATTTTTTGTAAGGTCGATTGTTCAATTTTGTATTTTTCATCTTCCCAGTTGGGTTCAGTCATTGTTAAATTATAGTTTTCCATTGTCTGATCTTCACTTGATTCTAACTCACATTCATCGTTCACGACATACCAGTTTGCAAGACAGATTATATTTTTGTTAGCAACATCGCAGCTTTCTTGATCAGCACTCTTATCTTTAATTAAAAATCCAATAATTTGACCAACGTAAAATTTGGGTAAATGTTTAATTAGGGAAAAAATACACCAGTCTCATCATACCTACACCGAATATGCGTCTAAACGTTGCATTTCAATATGATTTTGACCCAGGTTTTAGTTTTTATTGGAAATAAAGATGGAGGATGGAGGTAGGGCTGCCATTTATGAAATTTGTTACCTAGGACAATTTTTACGAAAACCCCGGATTCTAACCCCTCAAACCTGGACTCAGGCGCCGCCAGAGGCACAGGATTTTTTTGGGTGCCACGCCCAAAAAAGTTTATTTTTTTTGAGCCTTCGAGAACCACTCATTATTTTAACAAAAAATAATTTTTAGGGGTTTTTTATAGCTTTCACCGAGCTCCAAAAATGACTAACGACACGTGAACGAAAAGCTTGAGTCGCGCACACGCGAGCTTAATAAAACTGATGATGTCGACTGACGATTTCCATGATTCTTGTCAATTTCGCGGAGTTATTCGAGATTTTTCTCAAGATGCCGTAAAGCGTAGTAAAACACGGATAACTTCAAAAAATCCCCCCGGACGCCTTTAAAACTAGGACAAATCCGGCAAATCCGGACGAATGGCAGCCCTAATGTCTGCCCAGCGACTCTGTGTCTACGGGGCAACGGTAAGGGGAATGCAGTTATAAGAAAAAATGGCTGATTTCATTCATAAAATACCCAGCTGCGTGCGGAATTTTTTGGAAGTGTTATCGTATTGCAACTCCTACACGAAAATCGAAAATGACCAAACCCCCGCCACTGGATATTTCAATATAAATCGATATTCCAAGATGGGAGGATACAATGACAGAAGCCCTGGCCAATAGCAAGACGTAAGGTGACGTTTAGCTCATTGATAACGACATGGTTCCTCGTGGCAACGGCCATCCTGCCAAAAACTCCACCAATCGGCTTCATCCAGGCCGGATGCTTGCCAAATTGACAAAAACTGATGGTATCTTTAGAAAATGTTTATTTTTTACAATGGACAAAATTGAAGAAATCAGTTATTAGAATAAGAATAGATCTAACAACCACGTTGAAATATTTAGCGTTTTATTGGTATCTATATTTTGTTATTAAAAAATGGATTTTCAAATGAACTATACTTCATGCCTAGTATTTTCGCTTTTTTATAATTAAACGTGACAACAGGGCACATTTACGTCCGAATTCCTTCCATAGACTCAGATCCGCTGGGCAAACAATAGATGGAGGGGTTATGTATTTATATCTAATTGACAGTAATTGATTGTAATTAGATGTATTTGAAAGTATTTCAACGTAATTGAAAGTATTTCAATGTAATTGAATGTATTTGAAAGTATTTGAATGTAATTAAATATATTTGACAGTATTTGAATGTAATTGAACGTATTTGAAAATATTTGAATCTAATTAAATGTATTTGAGAGTATTTGAATGTAATTGAACGTATTTGAAGGTATTTGAATGTAATTTAATGTATTTGAAGGTATTTTAATGTAATTAAAATGTAATTGAATATAATTGAGTGTAATTAATTAAACGTATTTGAACGTAATTGGGTGTAATTGAAAGTAATTGAATGTAATTAAATGTAATTAAATGTAATTGAGTGTAATTAAATGTAATTGAAGGTAATTGAAGGTAATTGCAAGGTAATTGAGGTAATTGAATGTATTTTTCCAATTACCTTTCAACATTTGTACACCTAATTGGGGAGTGACCTACCCCTCGTTTTTATCATACTAAATTATCTATTATGTTAACCTCGATATTTACTGTGTTCTTTTAAATACTGCATATTTTCTCAGTCAGTAGTACTTAAATTGAATGTGCTCCTTTTTCTCTAGAGCTTTGTATTGCGTTGCAATTGCATGTATTCCTTTGTATTCTTATGTATGTGTTTGTATTCTTATGCATTCCCTTGTATTCCACATACCTATTGAGTATTTAGTGTACAAATTTGAGGGCGGTTTGACCCTTGAAAATATATTTTCTTTTTTAAATGTTATTAGCCTCTTTGCGATGTTGGCAAATTTTTTCCTTACACTTTGGGGGCCTTCGATTTTGAAACCTCATTCAGGCAAACAAAACCTTCGGCAGAACCTACCTGAATCAGTAAAACCATCATCCATTATTTTTGTATGAATTGGTCAGTACAAAAATCCTAATCGCAGTATCTTTTGCAAGCTTTGTTGTATGTGTAATGAATGGTTTGTAATGATTAAATTTTATACTTAATTAATTTAATTTTTTTTGTTGTTCATGCACTTCTATTGGAGTGCCAAAAATCGGTAATAAATAGATGTCACCAAGTTTGCATATTCAACTGAATCTGCATAATTGGATTATTTGTATATCACATTCACCAATGAAATGGCTTTCAGAAAGTTAAATAATGTATTTTTATTACGTAATGAAAGACAAGCACGTGCTCTTCCTCGTGCTTTTCGAAGTTTTCAATTTAATTTATCGAAGGAAACAATTTACCTGTGCTGTAAGGCCTGCAAACCGATCATAACGATTTGCGCTATTTCAGTGCTACTTTTCCAATTTTCGTTTCCGATCGCTCCGAAAACGCCACACTCGTGCGTCAGGCCGCTTTCCACTTTGCCACGGTTTTTGCGCCGATTTTCCCATGAATTTTGCTCCATTTTACTCAAAAAAAGCTCTTATTTTTTAAATTTTAAATGAACTCAAAGAAAAATCAACAGGTGGTGGTGGTTGAAAAAGAAAAACAAAAACATGCCGTCTTTAATAAGGTTATGTTCATGGTAAATAAAAATTCTTTTTTTTTAGTGTACAGTTGAAAGTTGGAACGCAATCTGACAACCATGGAATTTTATTGTCAGTTGTCGGACTAATTTTATAAATGCACCGAGAAGAGTATGTCCATCATTGTCTAATAGTGGCAAGAAAGACAAAGACAAAAATAAATTATATAATCAATTAAACCTATCCAGTTTGATTTGAAGGGACCAGAAAAACAAAAATGTTTGCAGTTCGTAGGCCGGCTGTGGTATCCAGATTTTTTTCGACTATTGCCAAAAATATGGAAAAACACGGAGTCGTTCCAGATGTAATTAGTGTGGCACCTCAAGAAGTTGCTCAGGTTCGTGTATTTTCAATAGTTTTTCGGAATTTTAGGGCGTTTCACTTGGAAAACACAATTTGTATTTGCATTACCATTCTGCATGTAAAAAATGACCTTTGAACTACTGCAGTCAGCTGCTTATCACCACACCCATAGCCTTGGAAAAGTTAATAACAAAATATAATCTGTAAAAAAAATACCAATCTTTTAAATTTGAAATTGTTTTCTACAGGTTTCTTACCCAAGTGGTGTTAAAGTAGACCAAGGAAATGAACTTACTCCAACTCAAGTTAAGGACCAACCTACTGTTCAATGGCAAGCTGATGCCAATGCTTTTTACACTTTATGTATGACTGGTAAGGCCTCTAGTTTCATTACATATATAACGCTACATAATTATAATTTCTTAGATCCTGATGCCCCATCTCGTAAAGAGCCCAACTTCAGAGAATGGCACCATTGGCTTGTAGGTAATATTCCCGGCCAGGATGTCTCCAAAGGTGAAGTTTTGTCTGCCTACGTTGGTTCTGGACCGCCTCCAAATACTGGTTTGCATCGCTATGTTTTCTTGATTTACAAGCAAAATGGAAAATTGAATTTTGATGAACCACGTTTGCCCAATAAGTATGTTATCTGCATTGAATCTAATTGCATAAATTTGCTTACTTGATTTTTAGTTCTGGTGATAACCGAGCTGGATTTTCTATAAGGAAGTTTGCTGAAAAGTACCTACTTCAAGAGCCAGTAGCTGGAAACTTTTATCAAGCTAAATATGATGATTATGTTCCTATTTTGTACAAGCAATTGGGCGCTTAATAATTTTCTAATGTTTTGAAATCTCTTTGAGTACCTATATGTCTCAGTTTTTGTTGCTTGAAAAATATAATTAAGTATAATACATTTTATATTGCTGAAAAATTTTGTTTAAACTTTAATTTTATACCTATTCATCCTACAAAACTATTGTCCAATAAAAAACTGGTATTATTGTGTCAAATTTAAAAATTTGACTCTTCAAAAATGTTTTGCCTCATTAAATATATTGGTAAGTTTATATTTTTGCCTTCGAATTGTTCCATAGAAAAAAATTTAGATTATGAAGACTTTCAAAAAGAAGACATTGAAGAAGAACAAACTGAAGCTGCTCCAGCACCTGCAAGCGAAAACAAGTTTCTTCTAATCAATCCAGACTGTCCTATAGGAATTCTAAGGGATTATATAAGCAGCCAATTACAATTACAAGATGATCAAGCAGGTATTAGATTAGGCAAACAATTTCATTTTATTTTTTTTAACTTGGATTTTTGCTACAGAAAATTTTGAGTTGTGCACAGAAAAGGCGACACTTTTAGATACAAGAAATGCGCCTCCCACACAGCAAGGCATCGATATTTTAAAAAACAACGAAACCTATTATATTGTTTTTCTACCTGCGGGACTAGGAGAACGTCCGAAATTATTGACCCCTTTATTGGGTCATTTTACGAGCGAATATTTGGAATTCATGGCTCAACAAGTCAGAAAAAGTTCAAGCACTAGACTGAAGAAAAAATCATCTTTGAAAGTAGCTTCAACTTCAAATTATGGTCTTGATCCCCTTCCAGCAAATTCAAAAAAATCAATCGGATAAATTATTAGTTGTAAATGTTTGGCTTCTGAATTTAGAATAAAGTTTTAGTAGAATTTACGAAAAAAGTGTTAAGTGTCTTTAATACAACTTCAGAAATCTTTTGTGATTTCATCAATATCAACACAGATAGGGGATATAAGGCTTAGGAACTGCCTGTTAAAGTGTTGCGGAGTCAATTCAAGCACATTTCCTGTAAATTGATTTAGCTAGTAACATTAAATAGTCCAAATCGAACCAACACTTTGCCATCAGAAAGGGTCAAGTTTTTAATAAATCCAGAAATGTTAATGATCTGAACTTCTACCTCTATTTGTCTGTTTAATGAGCTGAATAGCAGCTGTAACAGAAGTGGCACAAGCTGCTCTTATTTATTTAGAAGAGAAACTAACACAGATAGGAAGTCCTCCACAAAATGGTTTAGAACATATCACACTCTTGCTTTTGAACATTCAGTCAGCATGGGGTTGAGCCGATGCATTGTTTGTCTTTCTGAAAAATAGAAAACTCCCTCATCTCGTCCTTCTTACGGAACATTGGCTTAGAGAGGAAAAACCTCTTGATAAATTTTTACCTTTTATCTATAAGTATTTTGCCGAACAACATTCAATTAATGGGGGACCACTATCTGTTCCGAATTTCGATTCAGCTCGGACTTCTGTAACTGCCATAAATTTGACTTTTTATTATCTTAGAAAATATTTGAATTTTCTCTGTTTTTCTCAAGATCCCTGAATACATAAGTTATTTGCATTTATGGCTCCCGCTTGCATTATACAATTATATATGTTTCTATATAACATTACAACCTTCCGCTTCTATTACAGCTGCGCTGCTGAACAAAAATTCATCGAAATTAAATTATGTACTTTGACCTCCAAAATATAGCTATATTTTGAAAGAACTATTTCAGTGAATCACAAAATTGATAACATTTATCACCACCATATGTCCCTTCAGGGACACTTTATCCGTTAGGACAATTAGGTCATGCCACTTGAGGATGAAGGCCAACTGCTGGCCTTTAATTTATAATATAAAATATAAAAGCCCACTATATTAAAAACATCGACTTGTTTAGTAGCAGGACTAGCATATATTTCAATACTCTTTAATTCTCATAATTCACACTGCACAAGCACATTTGGTTTGGCCAGAGTGCACTGCCTGATGTCACGATGCTCTGGAATCGCTCCGCTCGCTCCATCGAGGCATCGAGCATCAATCCGGAAGACGCCCTAAAGTCACCAAGCTGCGCTGAATCGCCGTCGATTCATTAGCGCAGCACGGGTACGTGGCAACTAGCAACGACTACAGCAGGAACCTGTTAGTATTTGCGCTGCTTTGCCAAATTGTAAGTTTCTTTGAGCTTCTTCTGGAGCATCCAGGGACTTGAGCACTGTCTTAAGGGTCCAGTGTACCACGAAGTCGTGCCTTGTTGTTGTTGAGCTTGTAGGACATGTACAGGCAACATAGTACGAACTCTGAGTTGCAACCCTTTATGCATCTTTTCCTCGCTACTAAATTTGATTCCAAGCCATGCAGCTGTTCTTCCGAAGCACCCATCAGTACACTTAGTCCCCAGCATCCATATATGGTGATTGGTAGGCTGCGAGCTCAATCCCATCATTTTCTTTTAGAACGTTCCAACCATATAGCATGTTTTGTGACCATTCTTGTTCCATCATTTTGTAGTACCTTTCTTTGATTTTACCGAATACTACTTGCAGGGGCGGATTAAGCCTTTTTTCGCTCCTGTGCGTTTAGAATTATTTCGCACCCTTCCAGGCTCTGGGTTATATCATTATATTTTATTTTGTCATTTGAAGATTCTTCAATATAAAAAAGACAAATACTTAGTATTTTGAATGAAAGATGGCATGAGACACGTTGATTAGTGCCAAGTCACTTGTCTTTTCATCTGAATGTGTGTTTCTGAGATAGTCTTTAATCCTCCTTAGGGTGGAAAAAGACTTATCTCCAGACGCGTTAGTCGATGGAAGGCAAAGATACATTCTCAATGGTACCTCGATATTGGGAAATATCGAGATTACTTTTTCAGACTTTAAACTTTGTGGAGGTTTATCCAAATTTAAGGTGCCATCGTGACTACTAGAAATCAGGAAATATTTATATTGAAGACATTTCTGAGGAAATTAATCGTCCAGATCGTTTTTACATGTTCCCTCAAGTGGCTGCGCTTTTGTTTTTATTTCTTCGCCAGATAGGGCACTTGCCACAATTCACCGGTTTCTAAACCGGTGTGATACCGGTTTAATAGTTCACTCACCAAACCGTTCCAAATGTACCGTCTTTTTACCGGTTGAACCAGATCGTCCGCTCCAAAATTGACCGGAATGATCTACTGTTTGAATCCGGTGAGGCACCGGATCCACCGGGAAATTTTTTGTCGGTTTTTTCGTTTGGAGATTTTCTGACAATGTTTTGACGTACATCAATTTCTTTGAATGGGCATTATCGGCAGTCGTTCCTTGAACTGTTGCAACACAACCGTTACAACCAAACTTTAACACACCGAAGCGTTCCAAAATGCATCAGAAAAATCTTGTACCGGATATACACCTAACTTTTACCGGAATTTTTTGATAGCTACCGGTTTATTTAACCGGTCAATTTATCGGTGAAATTTGGAAAGTGCCCATAGTAAAACAAATTTATACAAAAATGCAGTTCCAAGGTCAAAATGTTGTCATATTATGTGTAGGAAGTAAAGTTTTTGTCATTTTGCTGTTTGATTTTCTGAATTTTTTCCTTTTATTTTTATTTTTAAAATTTTTCGCCCCCTTTGACTTTTTGCCCCTGGGCGATTGCCCACTTCCGCCTTATGGTTAATCCGGCCCTGACTACTTGGCAACATTTTTTGCCTTCATATTCTGCCAGGTTAGTATTTTGAAATCGTCTGAATGATTTTATTTAACCCCATAAAAAAGAACAATCACTCATGAAAGGCCATACCAAATAATTGACCTACGGCCCAGAGAAAGGTTAAAGCGTCACTGTGTCCCTTATACCTAATATCTTTATTTGAAATCCAATCATTTGTTGTTACACATACAATAAAAAATGAACAAATGTTCATAGAATATTGATCTTCAGGAAAGAGAAACAAAAACAAAAAAATATCAATAATTGAAAATAAGATTATTCCGGGCGAAAATAACAGCCAGGATGGTTCTAAACGTATTACTACTGTGTGACATAGAAATTGCAACACCCAGTAAATGTAATAGTTATTTATACACCAAGTGAGTTAAATTATAGCGAGTGGGTTAATTTTCTTCGAATGAATAAACATTTTAACTCACGTGATGTATACAAAATTTTATTCCATTTTGTGGAAATTGAAAAAATAAAGTACCTACAAGGAAAAATGCCGAGAGTGAGTTAAAAATATGTCAGGCGTCGTGGTATAAATTTTTCTCGCGTGACTTATTTTCAACATAACACACTAATGCCATAAATAACTATTAATAATATTATGGGAAGTAGTTAGGATTAATATGAATAACAATCGATGAAATTTTCAAACAAATTTATTGAAAGGAATTCTTAATAATTCAATAGTCAGTTGCTCCTTCACGTAACTTTTGACATTCTGTAACTCTTCGTGGCATGCTGCGAATCAGATGATCGATACCTGCCTGTAGTAAGTTCTCCCAGGCTAATCTTATCTCATGACGTAGACGTTGTACATTCAGTAGAAGATTGGCAACTGCCTTAGCCTTCTACCTTTCACATCCCAGACATGTTCAATAGGCGATAAGTCTGATGACCTTGCGGGCCATGGAAGAAGGATTATATTAACTTGTTGGAGGAAGTTTCTGGTAACTGCAGCTATATGTGGTCCCAAATTGTCTTTTTGAGAAATTGGATCTTGTAGTCTGAATGTGGGGCAACGTGACAGGTTGTAATACGTTATTAATGTAGGAATGAGCGTTCATGTTTCTATCCAAAAAAAACTAGAGGTGACCTGCTCCCAACTGCTATGGCACCCCAAGTCATAACTCCCCTAGTTAGCGCAGTCTCACTCTCCATGCAAAGTTGAACTTGGTGCCTTTCTCCACGTCTGCGACAGACTCTTCTACGTTGCCCTACCTTCAGTAACTGCAAAATCCAGGTTTTCAACACATAGGCGTATCCAGGGGGGGGGGGGGTTGCCGGGCTGCAGCCCCCCCCCCCCAAGGCAAGTCTAGTCTATTTTTTTCCCAGCGTATTTTATGTGACATGTACATTTTCTGTAAAAAAAAAATAGAAATAAAAATTCATTTTTTTCTATAACTAGCTAATGACCCGCTGCGTTGCCAGCATGTAAATACATTTTGAAATAATACACTTCTTTTCAAATTTTGTTGTTGATTTTCTATCTAATTTTTTTTTTTAATCCGATATCATAGTCGCTTGCCAGTGGGCCTGATGCCATCATGCGTCACTGAACTCACTAGTTCAGTGACGCATTTTAAGCACTCCAGAGCTGCTCTAGAGCGCCCCGAGCTGTTTATAGGCGTTCCAGTGTATCAGAGTTTTACGCAACCGAACTTTTTTTTTTCGGGATAAAAAAATAGCCTATATCACTCTCCTCTATAGCCGATTCGATTGACTGGTTTAGATCGATCTGGTTCAATTTAAGTGAACCACACTGTGTTCGATTCAAGCTGGATCAGTGCACCCTCATCAACAAAAAAATGATCTAGATCAGAAGAAGTTCACTTAAATTGAACCCAAATCGATCTAATCTGGGTCAATCGAATTCACCTTATATAGAGATACGTGGTATTAATTCAATATCGGTCCAGCCGTTCTTGAATTCAAAAAATAATAAAGTTACGTCGGTTGAATGCAAGCCTAAATAAATGAAATATGGCAACGTTGTTTCATGCTGTCAAAAGAAGTTGGGTTATGTTGTTATGTAATGTGAATGAGTTTGTTTACAATTAAATTAATAATTAATTCAAAATTAATTTATTTTCCCGAGATGCGTAACCTATCCACAAACCTTCCTTGGGATGGCCATAACAACCTACCAAAGTTTCATCGTAATCGGATAAGT